TGTGAAATACAACTGATATAGTAACATCTTTATTAGGGCCGCGCCATAGCTCAAGCGGTTAGGCGCTGGCTTCCCACCGCGGCGGCCCGGGTTCGATCCCGGGTATGGTCAAGTGGGATTTGTGGTGGACAGAGTGGCGCTGGGGCAGGTTTTCTCCGAGTACTTCAGTTTCCTCTGCCATCTTCATTACACCAATTGCTCCACAATCACCCTAACCTATCTGGGGCTGGTACAATAGGCCAGAAGTGGCCGCAGTACAAGGGACTTAGTCCCACCCCACTAGCATTAAAAAAATAGTTTAGATTTCGCATCTTTATTAAACTGAACGTGCTACACACATCATTTGAACTATTAATTGAAACAAAAATTTATCTGAAAAATATTTTATACAGTTCTGTAAATATACGCGCAATGTTCGCCATAACGCAGTATATACTTATGCAAAACAATGAGACACATTCTCTGTAGATGTTTTGAGCTGTTTATTGATGCCAGAAGCAAAGTTGCCTTCGCAAATGAGTTACTCATGTAAGAGACTAAACAAGGTGTGAGTGTATGTGTTTGATTAGTGCATTCCATTAGCCTTTTGAACCAAGAAATTGGTGTAAATATTGTAATTTCAGTTCCCAAATCATAGAAGACAGACTGATTACCCAGTACAACGATCAACTGGTTAATATTTTGGGGGAAATAACTACTGTTTATTCTGAGAATCATAGAGGACCCATACATACGAGTACATCTGGTATTAAAATTGGGCAGTACATAAATAACCAGGCTTCAAATCGTTAAACTTGCGCTTACTATGTTTATCGAGTTCTGTCATTGTTAGTTTTTTATTTATGTGTGGAATATTGTATTAACGTAGTACATGATGCGACTAAGTGAATGTACAAGATGTTTAGTGCAATATGTGCCCAGGTGTCTGTGGTTGGTGGAATGAAATGTGTGTTAACATGTATATTGTGTACCATTGTTTTTCCTCAACAGTTGCTATGGTATCCATGTTTGGGCATTTGAGTGCTCCCAAACAGCAATTCTGTTGTAGTACTAGAAAATTTGAATGCTTCTGTAATGCTGGAGGGGGGATATGGTTGAATCCATTGAAGTGATTTATGATGTGAGGATCATACTTTAGAACTGGTAACTGTGGTTCATTTGGTCCAATATGAACAACTTTGTTATCGCCTTATGCAATCAGAAGGCATGTTTGGACAGTCACTACTCTGGTTGTAATTCTAATGTGGCCTGTTATGAGCAGCTTGAAATGTTTGCTGTCTGTAAAAGGAGGAATCAGCCAGAAGGTTCAGTAGTAGAATCCTTACCAAAATGTATACCGAGTATTGTCCTTGTGACTACTGTTTTGGTAATGGTAACTTCCTCACAGATGGCAGTGAGGTTGTCAGCCTTACTGGTTTCTGTACTTTGTCCATTGTCTGGTGTTGTCACCTCCTTTCTTACTGGTATTTGCTCTGCTTTTTCCACCATGAAGACTGAGGCAATATGTAAAGGTAAAAGCTAAAGTTGTCCATGTGCTTAACTAATTAAGCACTATTACATGAAGGCATATGGGGAAGTGGATGTATAGATCCATATTTTCTTGACCTCGACGACCTCCGTCGGGTTCAAATACCCGGCGGAAGTCGTCGAATTTTTAAGGGCGGAAAAATTCAGGGAACAAGTCCTCCAGGTCCCGTGTCGTAGCTTTACAGCACGTAAAAGAACCTCATACCTCCAAAGGAGGTCACTGAACAAAATTGCGGACGTTTCCCGCCCAACAGCAGTCTCTAATACCTCTGGTAGATGGGGGAAGCATTATAGATACTTCTCAGCCAGTAGAGCCGGTCTTGCTGGCTGGGCGGGACTGATGGTAAGCACCAATACCGGTAGGATATAGAGACTGGTAGAAATCATAGAGGGAAGCACAATGGACAAATACAGGTCTAAGTGCATGGGGAAACCCACCCTCTCCAAATAACTAAATGGGGATTATGGTGCTGTATGAAAGCAGTATGACAGTATGAATGATCATTTACATTCTTGGCCTGGTCTGACTGTCTCTGCTTTTTTTACACATGCTGGTTTTACTTTAAAAGTTTCTTGGTTTGAAGAAGAATCTAAGAATGGTGGATCTTCGTTCATCTTTAAATGCTGACATCTGAAATTTCTCTTTAATGTAAATTGTTATTTGGAGATTCTGGAGAATTGTGTGCCCCTCAATGGTGAATTCAGTGTGTCATAAAATTGGAAGTATATACTATTGCCAAGAACATATGGGTGCTGGCAGGAGATGAGGGGGTTGAGCCAGGCATCACCCCTCTTAGAATTTTGGAAGAAAAAAAATATAAAATGATATACACAAAACATTAATACCAAAAGTTAAAAATACTTTTCCTTAGAAAAGTATTCTTATGTCTTGAATAGTTTAGAGATAGTAGTAAGTGTTCTAAACCATAAGTTTGTAAGCAGACCTTCTGGCTACTGCCACCCCCTTTGCCAGTCATGGCAATACCAATTGAAATTTGTAGTAAATACAGGTTCTGTGTAATGAAGTACTCAGGGTCAAGTACCTACACTTATTACATTTATTTCAAGTAAACATTTTGGAAGACTCAACTTTTCTTGAATGTCCAAAAGGGTTTCTCAATTTTTGAGTCGACACAGCAAAATGTAGAAGGTGATTCCCGCTCACTGCTCTTACTACAGTATGTCAGTGCACAGGTATCGAAACACCAAACTACTCATTCCTGTTTGTATGTGGTTGATTTCTGTGTAAAGGCGCGTCCACATTACTCGTGCTGGTGTGACTCGCTATGCTTGCAAGTAATGTGGACGATATGACAAGTCACAAGACAAGCAAATTAAAAATTTTTAAATTAAAAACTATAGCCAATAAATTAAAATACGACTACAGCCTATACACACTACGAGTAAGTATATGGATCCTCATGTGCCGAAGCCTGGCAAGCAACTGATCTAGTGTGGACGAAAATTTATGGGCACAAGTAAGAGCCAGATGAGTCTCCTGACGAGCACGAGCATGAACATGAGTAACGTGGATGCGCCTTAACACCTTTTGAGGCAGGCATATGCTACAAAATGCTACAAACAAAATTCAATTTTTATGCATGTTGTTGGTGTACCCCTGTGAGTTGTGCAGACAGTTAAACCGAACTGTGTTGTTTCCTGCAGTCTTGCTGTTTGACTCCTAGTGACTGGGGCAACTTTATTTTATTTTAGTGGTCATGCATTGATTTATATAGATGANGATGGGCTAAGGGCTGGACGGCCTGAGTTCGATTTCGGACAGGAGAAAGATTTTTCTTTCTCCAGTGTCCTAACCGAACCTGATGCCCACTCAGTCTCCTATCCGATGAGTACTGGGGGTAAAGCGGCACAGGCGTGAAGCTGACCACTCGCCGCCATCAAATTCCAATATAAAAAATGAAGGACCTAAACCTGCACCCCCCCCCCCCATGTCTTCATGTCATAGTAAATAACTAATGAAGCACAGGGACAACTTTTTACCTTTACCTTTAATCTGAACAAGGAGGCAGGAAATATTTACGGTGGCTTAATGGGAAACCTCTCAGAAAGAGGTAATGTGGAGGACCGAGAAAAAATGTAATGACCTTATGGAAATAGGTTGAGAGGGGAATGACTGATGGCAATGGCCAGTGGAAGCCCCTGTATATGCCGTTCATATGGGTGTATCTCATTTCAGTCCAACTTCTTGAATCATGTATTGGTGGCGTAACGTGCGATATTATTAAGAAGACGAACATGGTGCAGATTATGCTGTGAGTAGGGAAAGACATGCCATGGGAAGGAGACTGCTTTGGCCAATTTAAAGATACTATGCCTCAATTTACCCGGTAGAGAGAGAGAGTAAAACTGAGATTAACTACAGTTGGGCTTACTCAGTTTGTATGGTAGGTAGGCTGCAGTGTGGGGTGGTTCAACAATGAATTGAGGTCTGATTCATTTAAGGGGTAGATATACATGTATTTCTCTTCTCCTCATAGTGCAAACCAGCTCTGAGGCTGACCTAACCTCTTATCCAGTTGGTACCTTGAGCCCTTTCTTTGGAGTTAAACAGCTAGGGCATTAAGCTGACCACATCATTCCATCTAATGTGAAAGTTAAGAATATGTGGAGCTATACCTCCACTCCCCATACATTTTCATGGTGACTTGAAGATGACATGAGCAGAGGGAAAACTTTACCTTCATTTCATAACCAGAATCAGTGTAGCTGGTACCATGATAAAAGATTCAAACTCAGTACATTTTCAGCATCAGCCGGGTGCATTACCATAGATGTCAGCTGCTTTGAGTTGCAAAGTTGTGGTCATATGGCTTGCCGAATGAATATACCCGCAATGCTCTCGAAACAATGCATTTGCTGTTTCAATGATTTAGACAGGTTTGTTGCTGGGGATACAGTGGGGTAGGGGGTCAAAGTGCCCTTTTGTCACAGACACCCTAACGCGCTCATTGGCTGATTCTCTGTGTGATTACAGTAAAGCCTCGCTGATCCAGATCAAAATGTGAGAAATGTTGTTCACAGTTGAGTACCTATTTGAAAAGGGATGGCATTTAGGAAGGCAGATGAGTCATTTGTCTGTTGAGACAAAACTTGACAATTTCTTCAAACCTGAATTATTACACAGAATTACTGGGGTTTTGGTCTTTTTCCATCGTCCAGAATTCTAGGAAATAGAGGATATGACGTTTCGGAAACTGAATCTGTTTCTGTCAAGTGAGAAAGGAAGACACCTACTCAGTTGGGCCCATTAGAAAGATCTAATCTCATTCACCTAGAATTCCGGATGATGGAAAAAGTTAAAAAACCAAGTAATTCTGTTTGTCATCCACCATCGTCAGAACCAAAATCTACTAAATTATTACACTCAAAAACAAGTACAACTTCTGAGTCTTCTATTGATAAATAAATGTATTTTATTTTTTATTTTTTTTTTTCAAATAAAGGCTCTACAATGATAATTGGTTATTTATTTTCATCAGCACCACTTACATCATTATATTTTCCATTTATCTGTGTTATGATTTGTTCTGTTCTTAGAGCTACACTTTTCTTCAATAATCTGGCTTACATCTCCTCCCAGTTACTCCAGATTAGCAAGGGTTTACTGTTCTATGGAGAGCAGGAAGAAACAAAGGGCTAATATAAGCTGAACAGTTCAGATTAGCACACATCACAGTATGGTGAAATTAGACGTGTAAGTCCTTAAAATATATTGCCATCAATATCACTATAAGATACATTTTCAAGAATTCTGTGCTCTGAATTCTAACACATGCTTTTTACTAGTTACCTTGCTTGGCTCAATTTTTGACCATGAAGACTGATGCTGTACTTACTTTCATAACACTGGTGAACCTCTACTGCACATCATGGTCATATGTGACATCCCAAAAGATGACTTCTTTGATTTGTGTTGTCTGACATTGCAGTATTTACATAAATTAAATCATGCCCATCCAATCAAATATTATTATAATTGTGAACGAGTTAGGAAAGACATGTTGAATGGCACATTGGAGAAATGAGAATTGCATAGAGAATTTTGGTTAGAAGTATAGAATGGAACATGCCACCTTTAGAGACCAAGATGTAGATTGGAGGATACAATTAAAAGTTATGTGATATGATTATGTGTGGATTATATTCGACTGGGTTGGTGTAAGGACAATCTAGAGAATATTTTTAGCACGATAAGATTTCCTTAAATAGCTGGAAGATTTCTTGTCAGTCTTTAACTGATGTGAACCTTCGGTTATTGTGGTTAAGCGATTGTCTGAAGTCGTTGTGTTGCCCCAATCTAACCGCGTGTGCCTGAAACAGTCCCTTCGCCTGCACGGCAAAATCATTCGAGATCCTCATATATCTAGCGCCTTCCACAAATGGACCAAATGTAGTAGTCACCTCAGTCATCAAACCGGGAGCGACATCTATCTGTAGGGGCACACTCACTATTCCACAGTTACGGGCAGTGTTCTCCAACGTTTCTTGATCAATGGCCAACAGTCCCTCCACCGAGATCTTAGGTCTCATGCCCAGTATCAGTTTTCTGTCCGGCAGGATTTGACCAGCCTTCACCACGACTTGTCCACGTACCACCCCCACAGACCCGTCTAAAATAATAACTTGGTCATTGTCGAGATACACTCGTATGAGCGCAGGCACGATATGACCGGGTCCTATCACCACACGTTTGCGCCCTCGTAACATTTTATAGGGCCGCAACCAAAGTACTCCGAGAAAATTAACCTCTTCTCCTTCTTCGTCCTCCTTACTACTATCATCAGCTTTCTCCACTTGTTTGGGCTTGAATGGCTCTGGTTTCGGGACACACTTAGCGGCGGCAGCACCAGCGTTGTACGTAGCCAGCGAAACAGGGCTCCAAGGGGTCACCAGGCGAAAATCGGACATATCTCTTGTCTCACAATCCATCTCCACTGGAACACACAAAAAGAACCCCATGATTTAGTCCGCAACGAGCTATACCGAACGAGCGACCGTAGCTTTCGGCGAAGTTAGTGCAAACTTTAGCGTATAGAAGGTGTCGCATGGTCAGCAAACGAATCCCCACGGTCGTTAATCTTGGTTTTCTAGACCGGAGCCGCTATTTCTTTGAAATAGCTCCTCAATTATCCTCACAAGGCTGAGTGGACCCCATTCCAGGCCCACTACTTCTCAGAAAATTTGGTAGCCCAGGGAATCGAACCCGGACCTCTGGATCTGTAGCCAGGAACTCTGACCAAAAGACCAAAGAGGCGGTCCACTGGAACACGCTCGTTTCTTTTTTTGGGTACTGGAGAAACATTCTGCATCAGATAGGGAAATTCAGACGTCTAAGGGCTCTGTCAAGGAACACTTAAAAATGCAGAAACAATTGTGTTGAGAAAACCTATGGGGAATTGAGAGACAAATGTAGGTGTAACATTACGGCGGATCTCGAGTATGTATCGTGCGAGGATTTGCGTTAGATGAAACCTGGGTGGGTTTATTTGTATAATGCCTGTTGAAAATTGGAGTCCCATGTATTAAACCTAACAACCAGAACAGTAGCATTAAATAATTTTATATTGATAACTCTACAGCCTCTTTCTGAGACTCGGTATAGCGATGAGTTACAAGCTGCATGGCCGAGGTTCTTTTCCACAGCGACCAGTATTTCCCAGGGAATAAAGCGGCAAGGGCGTGCAACTAGTAACTCGTCTCCATCTAGTGTCGAGGTCAAGAATGGTGGAGCTGTACCTCCACTTCTCCATATGCCTTCATGGCATAGTGCTTAATTATGTACAGGGACAGCTTTACCTTTAGCTATAAAGTGTGTGTCTGAGCACTACGATAGTTCCCTCATATCTGAATGTATTTGCATGAGATCGGCCAACTAACATTTATGTAGTTCCTATCCGGGCAATGTTTTGTACTGTAGCATGTCAGTGAAGTAGGCCTGTCCAGCGCTCACAGAAACAAATGGAAACAATCGTCAAACCCGGAAATTCTGAATATGTGCGTTCACATGTGACCACAGCCCTAGAACGCTACACTTGAATCATCGTAGTGACGAGGTAGTACATTTACACCCGAACTTAATATCAGGCCTGCGACCTATAGATCAAGAAGTTATCAAAGCATGCGAGTCCCGTTATTCTTGAAGTGAATTTGAGTATACAGAACTATAATTCTATCGGAAGGAGCCGTGTTAGCGCAGTCGATATACCGATTGGCTACAGGCTGGGCGTCCAAGGGGTCGGAGTTCAAGTTCCGATAGGGTAAAATATTTTGTCTTTCATGTCGTCTGGGGCGCACCCTGCCACCTGTTAAATTGGTCCTGGGGCTCTTTGACCGGGGGGAAAACGGCCGGGATGTGAAGCTGACCACTCACCTCCAACTAGTGCTGAGGTGAAGAAAACGTGATCTGTGCATGCATCCTCCATACGTCTTCGTGGCGTAGTGCTTAAATGGATAAACACGGGGATAACTTTGCCCTTTTTTACCCTTATAATTTTACCGGTGGTTTTGTACGGGTGGATCTTGGCCTCTTACATCAAGGGGGAACATAGACTGAGGGTGTTTGAGAACAGGGTGCTGAGGAGAATATTTGGACCGAAGAGGGATGAAGTGACAGGAGGTTGGAGAAGACTGCACAATGAGGAGCTTCATAACTTGTACTCCTTGCAAAGCATAATTAGAATGATGAAATCAAGGGGGATGAGGTTGACAGGGCATATAGCACGCATGGAGAGTAGATAAATGCATATAGAATTTGGCTGGACTACCCAGAAGGAAAGAGTCCATTAAGAAGACCAAGACGTGGGTGGGTGGATAATCATAATGTTTTCAGAGATAAGATGGAGCGATATATATTGGATCAATCTGGCTCAGGATAGGGACCAGTGGGATGCCCTTATGAACACGGTAATGAACCTTCGGGTTCCATTAAATGTTCGTAAATTCTTTAGTAGCTGCCCGACTGGCGGCTTAAGGAGGATTCAGATTCATGTAGTGAGTTACACTAGAAGTGTCCGCACGCGGCAATTCAAGTAAGAGAATCTAATAACTAACTTAATGGAGCTGATCCTTCCTTAAGAAGCCGCCAATTATGCAGCTACTCAGAACTTCTCAGGAATTTATGAAATCCCAAGTTTTATTACCGTATTCATAAGAGCACTCCACTCAGTCACTCACACCCATATAGTACCACAGGCAAAATTATAGCTTTGTGTATTCTAATTTTTATTAATTTGATTTGTTTCATTGTGGTCCGTCACACTAATATTATGAAAAAGTGAAATAGTTTCGTCCAGTGTGACGGGTTACGATTTTTTTTTTCTTATTTCAATTATTTATGCCCTTACATGTTTCGGTCTTCAGAAACCATCTTCAGAGGGATACCTTTACATCAATACAGTTAGAAGCCACTATTACAGTACATGTTTTAAAAGTTAAAATATATACATACAATTGGCTGTTTTTACAACTACAGCGGCTGTTCCAATACTTTAAAATGTGTTAAACTGTATTAAAATTTTATTGGAATTCGTAAACCAAGCTGGTTCGTGTCATCCCTCTTATTATTTCTTTTGACGGGGGCCGAATGTGTGTCACCTTGTCGTTCTCGAGAAGGGGGTTCTTTGGTGTTGTCCTCTATGTGTTTGTGGCCAGCTGTGTTTTAACCATTTCATAATCTAATTTTTATGTTTTGAGACAGCAGACGAGAAGGCAAAATGTCCTGGTCTGAATGGTGGCAAGCATTACCAGAGTTCAGTCGCCTCTTAATTTCCTCCTGAATCGAATTTTGATTTGATACTGGCGTTCCCATATATTTGAACTGTGCCGTGCCATATTTTCAAAACATCTGTTTCCTATCTTTATGTCCTGATTTTGCCCCGCATTCTGATAACGCGACAGCAACATGTACTTAGTCTCTCTGTGTTACTTCTAGATCATCCTTAGTAGGCCATGCCATAGCTCAGGCGGTTAGTCGCCGGCTTCCCACCGCGGCGCCTCTGATTCGAGCCGAGGTCAGGTCATGTGGGGCAGGTTTTCTCCGAGTATTTCAGTTTCCCCTGCCAATTCTCATTCGACCGACTGTTCGACATTCATCATCTATCATCCGGGGCTGGTACAATAGGCCAGTTAGTCGCCGACGTAACAAGTGGACTCATTCTCACCCCACCCCAAGAAAGTAAAAAATTAACATCATTACTAGCGTCAATTCAGATACGGAACCTGATGCTTGCGAGAACTTAAAGCAACGTATCTTGTTTGTTCTTATGAAGAATCTACATACCTTCATATTAATGGGAGATTTGTGTGGCTGCCTTTATGTATCCCCATTTATCCCATAAGCCGAACAGTGGCCACGGGGTCTAAGGCATTAACAGTCTTCGCTCGCTTGAACGCTGGGATCGTGGGTTCGAATCCCACTGAAGCCAGTATGTCTGTCTGCGTTTATCCTACGTTTGTGTGGGTAGAGACCTTGCTACGGGCTGTTCACCCGTCCAAGGAGTCCTACCGACTATGTATAAGATTATGGCCGCGCCATAGATCAAGCGGTTAGTCGCTAGGTTCCCACCGCGGCGGCCCGGGTTCGACTCCGGGTCTGGGTCAAGTGGGATTTGTGGTGGACAAAATGGCGCTGGGGCAGGTTATCTCCGAGTACTTCGGTTTCCCCTACCAATTTTCTTTCCACCGATTGATCCACAATCACCCTCACCTGTCAGCTGGGGCTGATACAGTAGACCAGAAGTGGCCGCAGTACAAGGGACTTCGTCCCACCCCACTAGCAATGCATAAGATTAAGGAACTAGAAGGAGGCCAAGGCCCAACAGTGCTGTGCAGCCATTGATAGATTTAAGCCGTACGATATTAATAAGGATTTGAGGTCCTTACATATGTACTTATGAAGAGTTTTCTCTTCTGGGATGCACGTATAACGCCGTGTAGTCCGTTAAAATTCAACCCTGCGTTTTGGAAGTATATTTCGCCCCCATCTTCAGGGTCGAAGAATAAAGCAAGAGCGTGAAGCATTCAGCAGTGCTATGTAGATATTTATATTTTGACGGATTGTCAGGCATAAATATTAATGAACTTCTACAGGACGACACCGCGTCACATCCCAGAAGCGCGTACTTTTCATCAGTCATACTATTTAATTTAGTTTCCTGGAATATCCCTTAAATTCCTATACTGAAAACAACCTGTAGTGTCAGTCTCACAAATTGAAATATTTGGCTTACTCTGAATTTCTGGTGCAGCTGTTCAGCGTCTTCTTCTGGTATTTCCCGTTCAGATTGTGATCTTCAGGCCTGCACAAGATCTTTCTTCTGCTCCCACTGAGAATAGACAGCAAGTGATGATGATTCTATACCAGTCAGAGGGTCAGTTTTGCAATTGTGGTGGGGCGCTACAATCAGTGCAGTCATCTCAAAAGTACTCTCAACAGGAAGAGTGACACGGTAGCTTAGTTGGTTGAGGCACCGTGCTACAAGCTGGAAGGTCGTGGTTTATATTCCTGATGAGGTCATTGGATTGTTTTTTCACTTTACTTAATCCTTTCAGTCGCACTGTGGCCCTGGGTTCGACTCAGCCTCTAACAGAAATGAGTGCCAGGAATCTTCCTGGGAGGTAAATGGAGGCCAGCGCGTAAGGCTGACGACCTCACCGCCATCTCTTAGTCGATTGTCTAAAAAATGTCGGAGCCTCGACATCTTACAGGCCCCCACTGCCTCTTACTTTTTATCGTTTTAGTTGTGTACGTGTGGCAAACCCCATACTTCTAAAGCTAAAAGATAAAGCCGTCCCTCTGCTTAACTAATTATGTACTAGGCCATGAAGACGCATGGAGTAGTGTATGTATGGATACACATATTCTTGACGTCGGCAATACTTGGAGGTTAATGGTCAGCTTCACGCCCCGGCCGTTTTTCCCCCGGGGAAAGAGCCCCTGTTACCTGTTGGATAGGAGGCTGGGTGGGCCCCAGAACCGTTCTAGATGACGGGGAAAAGAGGGAAATGCGCGCCCCTGCCGGAACTCGAATTCCGACCCCTCTGCTCACCATCCCGTTGCAGGTCGCTATACCGACTCACCCTGTACCTGTACACCAGTTTTAAGCTAGATCTGAGATTCTCGCAGCGGTGACTGAAGTGGGATATAACGTCTTGCAGTCTGGGCAAAAGGTACGGATGGTTCAGAATCGAATACTAAGACAAGCAAACACAGTAATGGCCCCCGAAGATGGAGATATTACTTCCCTCCGAAACGTCATCTGCTGTGCTAAAATGGCGACAGGTAATACATCATTTGAAGCTGTGAACTTTCTTTCTTCAAAACTTGCATAAAATTGTGAGGAGAACTGTACTGAGGCGTCTTGAGACTCAGCCATGGGATGTTTATTTCTGTGGAATTTGGTTCATTGTCATGAACTGTCGTTGTCGTCATTAATGCGTCTATCGTCTGCTCTTTCTGTAGTGATCGTTTGTGCATATCATGGGACAAATTCTGCGTGCCGAAATCCCTGCTGTTTTGGTAATGATTGTCCTGGAAGGTTGGTAACATAGCTCAGTGCGTATAGCGACGGGCTGAAGGGCCGGAGTTCGTTTCCCGGCGGAGGAAAGAATTTTCTTTGTGTCACACCGTCTATACCGGCCCTGGGACCCAACCAGCATTGTTCGGTGGGTATCTGAGGCCCTTTCCCGTCACCTTCGTCTGGTGTCGAGGTCAAGAAATGTTTGCCTATACTTACACACTTTAATATATCTTCAGGGCGTGGTGGTTGATTAATTAAGCGTTGGGACAATTTAGTATATTATGGGAACCAGGTAACATCATACGAGGGCTGGAACTTTAATAGCGGCAACTATCTATTTACAACTGATACAAAATAGATGCATGTTTCGAAGTTTTACTGTCATTCAGTGTAGTTGCCAGCGATGTGGAAGTCATAGGATGCCTTTAGGAGCTCCTGTTGTGTTGATAGTTGGAATGGAGCGGTCTACTGCCTGAAGAATCTCTGGAACAGTTCTGAAGCGAATGCCACGAAGTGGTTCCTTCATCTTAGGAATCAAGTTGAAGTCACAAGGGCTTAAGTCCGGGGAGTATGGTGGATGGTACAGCACTTCCCAGCCCAATCGATCGAATAAGGCAGCCACAGCTTGCGCTGCATGCGGCCGAGCATTGTCCTGCAAAATGATGGGTGGGTTCTGCAGAAAGTGTCACCGCTTCTTTCTCAAAGCTAGTCGCAGGTTGTTTTCCAAAAATGAAAAGTAATACTGCCCATTGACGGTCTGCTGTCGGGGAACGGTATGCGTTAGGATAACACCATCACAGTCGTACACGAGAATCACCATAACTTTCACACTGCTGGCGTTCTGACGAACTATTGATTTTCGTGGTGACCCGTAATGACGCCATTCATTCGATTGACTTTACATTTGTGGCTCGTACGATTTCTTCCATGTCTCATCCAACGTAATGATTCGGCGTAAGAAAGCCTCTCCTTCGTCCTCATAGAGCTCCAAGTGCTTACGAGCAACGTCGTATCGTAGTCATTTCTGCATTTCCGTCAAATCATGCGGAACCTATCCTGATGCAATTTTTCTCATGCCCAGGCGTTCCTTCAGAATGTGAAGCACAGTCGTATGCGCTAATCCTGTCTCTCTGGCCAGCTCACGAATCGTATGGCGTCGATCACTCTCCAGTAACGTGGAAAGAGCATAAACTTCTTCACTGCATGTCTGCCACATTTTTGGTGTCCCTCGTTGAAGGCTTTTACCCACCTTGCCACTGTTCTGTAAGGCAATGCAGATTCCCCACAACCCTCTTGAAGACCTTGATGACACTGTCGTGCTGTACGGCCTCTGGCACATTCAATCTGTATCCAGCTCTGTTGTTCCTGTTTTGAAAACATCGTGACAACACTACATTAGACCGCCAGCTAACACGAAGCTCTGTTCTTCTCGTCACTGCGACTGCGCGTGATGTGGGAAGGGAGAGTCCATTTTCTCTGAGGTAAGGTAGGTGTGTAACTAACGTGTGGTATAAGCGACATTATTTGGTCTCTTGCATGGCGTCTCTACAGCAGCGTTGCCACTATTAAAGTTCCAACCCCTCGTATATTGCATAGGGTTTTTTATGTGGGACATTATCAAGGGTACACTATACAAAACTATTAATTTTTCCTGTGGTTCTGTATGGGTGTGAAATTTGGTCTCTGACATTAGGGAGAAAAATAGACGAGTGTTTGAGAACAGGATGCTGAGAATATTGGAAACGAAGAGGGATGAAGCGACAGGAGGCTGGAGAAAACTGCATAATGAGGAGCTTCATAACTTGCACTCTTCTCCAAGTATAAGTAGACTGATCAAGTCAAGGATTGTGAGACGGGCAGGGCATGTAGCGCGAATAGGGGAGAAGAGGAATGCTTATAGAATACTGGTTAGGAAGGCAAAAGGAAAGAGACCAGTGTGAAGAGAAAGGCGTAGAAGGGGGGATAATATTAAAATATATCCTAGAGAGAGAGAACAGGATCGTATGGACTGGATCGATCTGACTCCGGATAGGGACCATTGGAGGGCTCTTGTGAGCACATTACTGAACCTTCGGGTTCCATGAAATTCTGGAAAGTTCTTGAGTAGCTGCACAGTTGGTAGCTTCTTAATGAGTGAGTGAGATTATCAAGGGTACAGCTGATGCTGGGTAAGGGATGTCGGCTGCCAATATGACACCTTTTCGTTAGGAACAAGGTGACGCTTCTCTGGGTCCCTAGGAACAGTTGGATTTAGGGCATCTGGGATGCAGACGTCGTAGCCATGAAGGGATCAAGAATTCCATGTCTCAGGCTCGAAGCAGTAATTCCAGTCACCAGGTTCTGGCACGATAGCATTGAGGCGTCCTCTTCTCCGAGTATAATTTGAATGATCAAGTCAAGGAGGATGAGGTGGGCAGGGCACGTGGCACGAATGGGAGAGAAGAAAAAAGCATATAGGGTATTGGTGGGAAAGCCAGAAAGAAGGAGACCACTGGGAAGACCAAGGCGTACGTGGGTGGAGAATATTAAAATGGATCTTAGAGATATAGGATGGGATGGTGTGGATTGGATTGATCTGGCTCAGGATATGGACCAGAGGAGGGCTCTTGTGAACACGGTAATTTTTTAGCTTAGCGGGGGGTGGAGTCCAACTGGGTCCACTCGGCACGGTGGCCAATGATTGGCCTATCGTAGCCTGCCCTGGGTGATCATGATGGAGAATTTAGTGGAATGAAGATTGGCAGGGGAAACCGAAGTTCTCGGAGAATACCCACCCCAGTGCCACTCTGTCCACCACAAATCCCACTTGACCAGACCGGGATCGAACCCGGGCCGCCGCGGTGGGAAGCCAGCGACTAACCGCTTGAGCTATGGTGCGGCCTTAACACGGTAATGAACCTACGGGTACCATAAATGCTGGGAAATTCTTTAGTAGCTGCAGATTTGGCTTCTCCTCAAGAAGGGCTCAGCTCCATATGTAAGTAAGTAAGATTGAGACGTCGCGGAGTAAGATGCAGTCGGAATACTGTTCTCCTGCGGAAGGTGCGAGAAACTGGTGGACTTTCAGAAAAACTCTCTCAAGGATTACAGTCCTTGCACTGGATTGCTAACTGGTCGCTGTACACTGAGGCGGTACCTGCTTGTTAATGGGTCTTTGCAATAATGGCAGAGCCATATAGTTTGTCAGTGTCTATCTCTGGCTAGACGTAGAACCTTGATCTTCAGTTATGCAGGGTTGGAACCCACATATAATCAATGGGGCTTCAGGTAGATTCTGAAGGGTTCTGACCGTGGTATATTACACTCAGTATTATTGGGTTTTATCCATAAACTTAATTCTGTGTAGGGTCTGCTTCACGCCCCGGCCGATTTACCCCAGGGGAAAGAGCCTCCAGGATTTATAGATAGGAGACTTGTTGGGCTTCAGAGCCGGTCTGGACGACTTGGAGATGAGAAAATTCTTGACCCTACCGGGTCTCCAACTCCGAGCCCTCGGCCATGCAGCCCTGTGGCGTCTCGCTATACAGACTACGCTAGCCCGGCTCCGCTTCAAGGGCGGGTAGAGTTGAACGGACTGTTTATGGTAAGGTAATGACGTATGTGGGAAAGCTGCTGTAGCTCCACAATTCTTGACCTCAGCACTAGATGGAAATGAATGGTGAGCTTCACAGCTCTGTCGCCCGTGGAAAGAACTCCCAAAATACCCGTTGTTTAGAAAATCGGTGGACACAGAGTCGGTCTGGATGTTTCGTAGGAGAGAAAAATCTCTCGCTCAAAATAAAAAGAATTTATTTTATGGATCGGTTACATTACCGACGTTTCGGAACAACATGC